GCTGCTTCTACTGTTAAGAGAAGCTAAGTGGAGGCTGTGGATTCAGAACACTAGGATTTATCCAAATCCACTCAAATGCACCCATTTCAGGATCCCACTCTTTTCCAAACAATGCCCTAATTTTCATATAAGGGATAGGGTTAGGCTAAGAATTTAAGTTATTAATTCAATAACCCAGAATCTACATGATTTTCATGTACATCAGCCTTGCAGTCACAAGAGACAGAATTCTTATGGGACTCTCCCAAACATGCCTTGAGCCAAAAATTTAAAACTCTTGAGTCTTTAATTTTCTTTCTTTAACCTGTCTAGCATCGCCACCACCAATCCAAGTCCTCATTTCTTTTTTTAAGACATTTAATCATTTAAATTATGTATATGCATTCTTTGGTAAATACAGAATTCATTTTTAAAATTAATGCAAAGTCTTACTATGCTGATAGACAGTGACTGCAATGGGGTCCGTGCGGGGGGACCCGGTGAAGGGGGGAGCTCAGCAAACACAATGTTCTTCATGTAATTTTAGATCAATGACACCAAAACAAAAAATAAAAAATCAATGCAAAGAAGTTTGTCTACCTCGGCCAGGATTCCAAAGACTGCAGCATAAAGCTCTGGGAGAGAGGGGAGCAGTGGAAGGCTGGGAGCAAGGCACAATGAGCATGAGGGAAGTAGGAGAGGGGCCGTGGCTGAGTGGAGCTTACATTCACCCTGAGCAAGCAGTGAGGGCAGCAAAGCAAGGGAGTGGTGGATCCCTATCAAGGGGAATAGAGGGGATTGTGGAGACCGGAGCTGAGAAAGATCCTGAAAGAAGAACAAGTTCTGCACAGAGGAGGGGTTTTCTCACTCTCCAAATCCCTGGGGATTTTAAGGAGGGATGATGGGAAGGGGGCAGTGGGAGGGGACAAAAGAGAGACTCAGGCCTTGCCAGCCCAGGTGATAGCAGCTGAAAGATCAGACAGACAGGTTATAAAAAGCAAACGCAAGGTCTCAAAAGGAAGAGCAGTATATTAATGTAAGGGGCAGAGACCTCACCTTCACACTGCAGGAGTCTTCTGGGACCACCCCATGTTACAATCCAGGGTAATTTATGTAAAATGAGGGCCCTGAGTCATTGAGAAAGTTAAATTACATTCAGTGGGCTCTGCTTTTTTTTTTTATTAAGGTATCATTGATATACAATCCTATGAAGGTTTCACATGAGCAATATTGTGGTTACAACATTCACCCATATTATCAAGTGCCCCCCATACACGCCATTGCAGTCACTGTCCATCAGCGTAGTAAGATGCTATCGAGTCACTACTTGTTTTCTCCATGCTGTACTTGGGCTCTGCTTTTTAAGCAAAGGGTTTTAGAACTATTTGCATTAAAAAGTAGTTTACATTATTTAAAACATGTAATCCACCCCAACCCAACCCATCCCATTGCCTGGCAAGTCCGCTTATTTTCTCTCCTTCCCTGAGGAGAGTTCTTAACCTCTTTCTTCTGTGGGTGGGTGAACTGTTCCCTCTGGAGGAACCAGTCTCACATCTGTTGCTATGTCTGGGTGTACAGCCTTTAACAATAGCTGCCCACTGGCCCTGCCAATCTTAAGTGGCCAAGTGCTGGAGCTAAAGCTCATGCAGAAACTATAACCCAGGCAGCTTCAGGGTGAACAGGTCAAGCCCTCATTTCTTTTTTTTGAGAGGGCATCTCTTATATTTATTGATCAAATGGTTGTTAACAACAATAAAATTCTGTATAGGGGACTCAATGCACAGTCATTAATCAACCCCAAGCCTATTTCTCAACAGTCTCCAATCTTCTTTAGCATAACAAACAAGTTCTTACATAGTGAATAAGTTCTTACATGGTGAACAGTGCAAGGGCAGTCATATCACAGAAACTTTTGGTTTTGATCATGCATCATGAACTATAAACAATCAAGTCAGATATGATTATTCGTTTTATTTTTATACTTGATTTATATGAAGCCCTCATTTCTTAACATGACGGTCTATCATGGCAGCCACTTTATCTGCCAAAGTCTTTCTTCCAAGGAGTATTTCATTTCAGGTGGCCTCAGATGTAAATTATCTTTGCCTACTAGTTTACCATTTTCCAATGGCAACTAGCTCCTCATTTCCTTCAAATCCAACTTAGTCAAATCCAACTAATCTAAGAGTCTCATCTTTGAAACCAAATACTATTTGGAACCCAATACTATTGTCAGGAAGCAAAACCCTTCTACCTATTTTAAGTAGAAAAAGATTAAATATAGGTAAATTGGTTGCTTACAGGAGTTGGAAAGCTGGGCCTCCAGGAAAGACTCTGATTGGTCTGCTATGGGAGATGCCACCATCAGGAAGATGAGGAATCAGGAGGCTGTAAGACTATAAGAAAACACATCACTCACTGTTTTTTATGGATCAGGAAGCCCTTCAATACCCACAAAACAACTATTGGATATTAGAATACCGTTGAAGAGAAACCTGAGTTCTCTACATCCCTGTGGGGGCAACAGTTAAAGTAGCTGAAGATGACCCCGAATCATTTCCTCCTTCCACATCTTATTTGTGCAACTACTTGGCAAAACTTGTTACATTCAGAAACTTGTTTTCAAGGAAGTTTAAGACGTAGTTTTTACTTTTCTAGCCTCTAGATACAAGATAGTTATTAGAAACAGTTCAGAATGAAAAAGTACCTATTTCATATCCACATTTTACTTTCCAGTGGCCCATCCAAGTAGGTCTGGTGAGTAGATACAGCCTCTCCCAGCTTCAGCTCTCAAGTTGACCAAAAGTAGTCCATGTGTTTGGCTTTAAAGATAACCTCTTTTTCTGGCCTCAGAGAAATCTAGAATTTCCTGTCTTCAGAATTGTTTTGCTAATCTACACACTCTCATCCCCAGCCACCTCTTCAACTTAGTCTACTACTCTCCTCTGTGGTCCACTTAGTTCCTGCCATGATAGGCCCCTATATTGCATGTGTGCTTTCAAACAGAATTAAGGATGCTCCACCCAAGGGCCTGTGTAAACTCATGTCTGTTATTCTTCCCCTAGACAGCCACATGGTTCTGTCTCACTACATTAAGGCCTCTAATAAAATGCACCTTTATCAAAGAGACCTACCTACACTACTCATCTAAAGTAGCCCAAGATACCATTCTCTCTTCACCTTCTGTGTTTTACTGTGCACTTATCCTCATCGAGATTATGGATCTCAGCTTTCCTCATTTCCCGTGGAAGGTAAGTTCCACAGGGACAGGCATTTTGTGTTTTCCTCATTGCTGCATCCTATAATTGTAATGTAGTAGGTATTTCAAAATGAAGGAATGCTGTACAGAGAGAAATTAAACTTGCCCCATTTTCTAAGCCAACTTTCCAATGCATTACTCATGCTGTCCTCCAGGTGGTGCTGATGGGCCTTTTCATCTGCCAATGTCTGTGCCGTAGGACAGCAGTGCTGCAAAGGACTAGAATAAGCTGTTTTTCATAGCCTCTAGTTTACAGAGTTCTGGGCTTTTCTTAGATGATACCAATAATCTCTCATTTATTCTTATTCCTGCAGGAAGAAGAAACATGGGCCTTCACCAAAAGCATTTTCAAACGCAAAATCTCAATCTTTACAACCCCATCATTAGGATTATTAGCCCCATTTTAGCTAAGAAAACAGACCTGTGGGAGTTGCCCACATCTCACAGCAGTAAGAAGTGGCACCCAGATGAGAATACGGACTTGGCCACTAAATCTTGTGCTTCTGACAGACTTGATTTTATCACTCTCTTGATGAACCTTCAAGAGAATTTCAAGTCTTGAGTTGGTAATTTGTTTCAGAGATTTCCAGACTTATCCGCACCTTTTCCCAACAGGTTCCTTTTCATCCAAGGGCACCCCCTCTAGGGCACTTTCTTCCAGAGACCCAAAGTCCACTAACAGCATTTCCTGCCCCAGATGCAGGGGAATGTGCTAAGTCTGGCTGTAGTGCCCAAGAGCTATGAATCTCCCAAGCTGGCTGTTGTCCAGACTCCTCATACTCATTGCAGCAAAGCGCAGGCCAAGAAGACAGACAGCAGGTCCATCTGTGAAAGGAAACAGAAAACTATGTGGTTCTCCGGGAAAGGACGTTTCTAATTCTTCTTCTGGGCCCAGGGCTAAGGTGCTAGAGGTTTGCCACTGGAAACTCTTTAAATACTCAAAAGTCGGGGAAATTAGGGGCATGACAGTAACTGACTCACAGTCACAAGTAAGTTACTGCCAGATTTGGAATCTTCCATTAGGTCTCATGAATCTTTTAATTTTTCTCCTGTCCCATGTATGAGCTTTCATTTCTAAGGTCATTACTCTAGACAGCCAAAATCCCAAGTACTACTAACTTGGCTCAGTTCTGATGAATTTGTAAGAGCAGATAAAATTAAGTACGGTGAGATTTTGATGGCATGTCTGTTCTCTCCTTTCTTTACAAATTTTAGTCAGATTCCTTAGCCCCTCTTAGTTAGTTTGGCAAAACTGAGAAAGCTTTTTGGAATAGGGAATGTGTACCTGAGAACATAACAAATATCTAGGTTATCACGTGGTGATTACGTAAAATCAATACATTCCTTCCTCTGGTAGGAATACTGTTCCCCAACTGGTAATCCTGCAACATTCACTGGGGATCTCTCTGAAGAGCCCCTTCCTCTGAAGCACATTTCTAATAGTGAGTGACTATAGTGCAGAAAAGGGTAAATGTAGGTTTAACAAGAAAACTGCACAATTTTCTCTAGAGGGCAAACAAGGTTCATTTTGATCTACATCTTCTCTGTCTGCTGAGTCAGCCAAATCTTCCGTCTGACTACACAGTTCCAAACCAGCGTAGCTTTGCTTCCTGTCAGGCTAGGAGTCATTGGTTTATAGATGACTGTACTGCAGTCTTTTAGAATACAATAAAACTCAGATCTAGAGACTGTTAAAGATGTAGTGGGCTGTTTCAATCAAACACTTGGCTCTGCGGGACTATCCAAGCCAAGAAAAATAAGATGAGTTGAATTACAACAGAAATCTTTATTAAAATGTATCCTTCAGTAATATGTTAGCATACATACAATATACACACGTACATCTGTACACTCTGACACGTCTCACAGATTGCCATCATCAGTTAAAATAATAAATTAAAACTAAAAAAAGGGGAGAGTGGGTGGGATGTAGGGTGGTGCTAAGGGCAAAATTTCCATTTTTTTGTCTGGTAAGAAATAGCAAATTTCTCAGAATTTCTCTCAGAAACACCTGTGACCAGAGACTGTTTGAAATAAAATACATAAATCACACCCCCGCCCTGCCAAAAAAAAAAAAATTCCAAAAGATGCAGTTACAAGTGTGCTTCTCAGAACAGGAGCATTCATTCCACTTCATACTCTGGCTTCTGCACCTTCTGGCTTCCAGACAGTCTTCCCCTCAGCTGGGGCAGAGAGGTTCATATGGGCACTTGGGCTTGGTGCACCTTGGGCTCGGGGGGTCGGGGGGCAGGCTGCAGTATGGGAGCGAGGGGAGCCACACTCATCGGAGGTGATGTCTGGCACATCGTCTGACTGTGTGTCAGAGCTCTCCAGGTCACTGCGGATGCTCTCAGGCTGGGCCAGGCTGATGTCCCAAGGTTGGCTAGCCAGGCAGTCTTTCTGTTCACAGCTTTGGTGTTTGCAGGAGGGATCCTCTTCATTGCTGCCAGTGCCGCTGCCGCCACCACCACCACCACCACCACCACCACTTTCTTCATTCTCTGCCATCTGAGCATGAACATGGAGTGAGTCCTCTGTGCTGCTTCCACTCACCAGCTGATAGTGGCTTGGTTTGGCTTCAATGTCCACTTGAATTTCCATATTGTTACATTCTCTGTGGAGACAAAATCCACTTTGCTGAGTCATGCATGGGTCATGCTATACCTGTTGGTAAAAGCAGTTTGTGGGTTCAGGATTAAGAAGTCCAAAAACATAGGTAAATAATAGACTAAAGCTCATGCTTAGTGAACATGAACAATTAGATCCTGTTTGTTTTATTTAAAACACATATACATACCTCTGCTAATCTCTTAAAACAACTAAAAAAGAGCTCCCCAAATTCAACTAACGCAGAGTCTCACACTATCTTACTCAGAATATGACAATGAAAGAAGATTCAAAGCTTTTTAATACTGTGCCACAATTAGAAGAAACCAGAAGAATCTCTAACGCAGGGAGTGCTGCAATCACACCACACCAGGTACACTAGCTTCTCAATATATAGAGAAACAGGCTACAGGAGCCACAACAACCAGAGAGAGACCACAGGCCTTTGGTCTATGAGAGCAGAAACGACAGACCCACAGCCATCAGTGAACACCAACCTAATTTTTACGTTCCATGTAAGTACACTGTGGCAATATCCATAGAGACCAAAAAAAAAGGAAAAAAAGAAAAGGAAATAGGAAAAAAAACTAAAAATCAAGTGCAAACAAGAATCAATCAGGAGATGTCAAACACGCCCATATCAAAAACCTGCTCAATGAATTCAAAGGGTACACACACTACATATCCCACTAGAACACAGAAAGCGCCCTACATGAGGCACTGAGCTTCTGAAGGCCTAGTAGCCAGCCAACACTGCAACCTCTCCTGGGCACCTCTGACTGTTCACATACCTGTCCTGTGGGTTGTAGGAACTGATTATGGAACCGGCCATAGCACGAGTGCTTGCGTTGTCACTAACTGCACCAAGACTGGCTGTGTCTTTGGGGAAAATTTCCTTTTGGACATCGGCTTGGACTTCTAACCTGTGTAAAGAGGGGACGTTCAAGTTAATATGAAACCTGGGTATTCCAAGACAGTCTGCTTCCTGGCCCATAACTCTTCCATTATTCTCTTGCAAATTCAGTCATTCTGATCTCCCAATTTCTCCATTTGTCTCCATTGTCCATCTCCAATGGACAATTTCTCCAATTGTCACATAGCTCATATAGATGCCCACATACTTTCTCAAGTATCTATTGAAATCGTCCCCTCCTTTCTATCCCCACTGTTACTGCTTAGTTTTAGGCCCTCAACATCTCCTGCCTGGTTAACTGCAATTGGGCTCCCTCTTCAGTAGCCGTAAGTCTAAGTCAAACAACTTGCAGACCAGTGCGAATATGGGTAAGAAACGGTTGCTCTAACCATCCTCTCTTGGCTCCCTATTGCCAACAGGCACTTAAGGTCTTCCTGATCTTCCTCCAAGCTCCAGTTTCATCTCTCACCATAGGTCCCACATCATAATCACTCTAAATTTTTTCTTTCCTTACACACTTATACACAGTTTATGCTTCCATGACCTTGCACATGAAGGAAAGGAAACTCTGGAAGTTTCCTTTCGCTATGTGACAAATTCATATTCAGTCCTTAACAACAAAGTGTCGTACTCCTTCACTCTTCCAGAAAACCGGTCACTTCCTGCTAAGTGCCCCCACAGCACCTACCTATTTACTATGTCAGTTTATGCATCTCTGCCCAACTCATTTGTGGGCTCCAAAAAAAAAAGAGAGAGACCACATTTTGTTCACACTTATCAAACACTTGGCTCTGCGGGACTATCCAAGCCAAGAAAAATAAGATGAGTTGAATTACAACAGAAATCTTTATTAAAATGTATCCTTCAGTAATATGTTAGCATACATACAATATACACACGTACATCTGTACACTCTGACACGTCTCACAGATTGCCAACATCAGTTAAAATAATAAATTAAAACTAAAAAAAGGGGAGAGTGGGTGGGATGTAGGGTGGTGCTAAGGGCAAAATTTCCATTTTTTTGTCTGGTAAGAAATAGCAAATTTCTCAGAATTTCTCTCAGAAACACCTGTGACCAGAGACTGTTTGAAATAAAATACATAAATCACACCCCCGCCCTGCCAAAAAAAAAAAAATTCCAAAAGATGCAGTTACAAGTGTGCTTCTCAGAACAGGAGCATTCATTCCACTTCATACTCTGGCTTCTGCACCTTCTGGCTTCCAGACAGTCTTCCCCTCAGCTGGGGCAGAGAGGTTCATATGGGCACTTGGGCTTGGTGCACCTTGGGCTCGGGGGGTCGGGGGGCAGGCTGCAGTATGGGAGCGAGGGGAGCCACACTCATCGGAGGTGATGTCTGGCACATCGTCTGACTGTGTGTCAGAGCTCTCCAGGTCACTGCGGATGCTCTCAGGCTGGGCCAGGCTGATGTCCCAAGGTTGGCTAGCCAGGCAGTCTTTCTGTTCACAGCTTTGGTGTTTGCAGGAGGGATCCTCTTCATTGCTGCCAGTGCCGCTGCCGCCACCACCACCACCACCACCACCACCACTTTCTTCATTCTCTGCCATCTGAGCATGAACATGGAGTGAGTCCTCTGTGCTGCTTCCACTCACCAGCTGATAGTGGCTTGGTTTGGCTTCAATGTCCACTTGAATTTCCATATTGTTACATTCTCTGTGGAGACAAAATCCACTTTGCTGAGTCATGCATGGGTCATGCTATACCTGTTGGTAAAAGCAGTTTGTGGGTTCAGGATTAAGAAGTCCAAAAACATAGGTAAATAATAGACTAAAGCTCATGCTTAGTGAACATGAACAATTAGATCCTGTTTGTTTTATTTAAAACACATATACATACCTCTGCTAATCTCTTAAAACAACTAAAAAAGAGCTCCCCAAATTCAACTAACGCAGAGTCTCACACTATCTTACTCAGAATATGACAATGAAAGAAGATTCAAAGCTTTTTAATACTGTGCCACAATTAGAAGAAACCAGAAGAATCTCTAACGCAGGGAGTGCTGCAATCACACCACACCAGGTACACTAGCTTCTCAATATATAGAGAAACAGGCTACAGGAGCCACAACAACCAGAGAGAGACCACAGGCCTTTGGTCTATGAGAGCAGAAACGACAGACCCACAGCCATCAGTGAACACCAACCTAATTTTTACGTTCCATGTAAGTACACTGTGGCAATATCCATAGAGACCAAAAAAAAAGGAAAAAAAGAAAAGGAAATAGGAAAAAAAACTAAAAATCAAGTGCAAACAAGAATCAATCAGGAGATGTCAAACACGCCCATATCAAAAACCTGCTCAATGAATTCAAAGGGTACACACACTACATATCCCACTAGAACACAGAAAGCGCCCTACATGAGGCACTGAGCTTCTGAAGGCCTAGTAGCCAGCCAACACTGCAACCTCTCCTGGGCACCTCTGACTGTTCACATACCTGTCCTGTGGGTTGTAGGAACTGATTATGGAACCGGCCATAGCACGAGTGCTTGCGTTGTCACTAACTGCACCAAGACTGGCTGTGTCTTTGGGGAAAATTTCCTTTTGGACATCGGCTTGGACTTCTAACCTGTGTAAAGAGGGGACGTTCAAGTTAATATGAAACCTGGGTATTCCAAGACAGTCTGCTTCCTGGCCCATAACTCTTCCATTATTCTCTTGCAAATTCAGTCATTCTGATCTCCCAATTTCTCCATTTGTCTCCATTGTCCATCTCCAATGGACAATTTCTCCAATTGTCACATAGCTCATATAGATGCCCACATACTTTCTCAAGTATCTATTGAAATCGTCCCCTCCTTTCTATCCCCACTGTTACTGCTTAGTTTTAGGCCCTCAACATCTCCTGCCTGGTTAACTGCAATTGGGCTCCCTCTTCAGTAGCCGTAAGTCTAAGTCAAACAACTTGCAGACCAGTGCGAATATGGGTAAGAAACGGTTGCTCTAACCATCCTCTCTTGGCTCCCTATTGCCAACAGGCACTTAAGGTCTTCCTGATCTTCCTCCAAGCTCCAGTTTCATCTCTCACCATAGGTCCCACATCATAATCACTCTAAATTTTTTCTTTCCTTACACACTTATACACAGTTTATGCTTCCATGACCTTGCACATGAAGGAAAGGAAACTCTGGAAGTTTCCTTTCGCTATGTGACAAATTCATATTCAGTCCTTAACAACAAAGTGTCGTCCTCCTTCACTCTTCCAGAAAACCGGTCACTTCCTGCTAAGTGCCCCCACAGCACCTACCTATTTACTATGTCAGTTTATGCATCTCTGCCCAACTCATTTGTGGGCTCCAAAAAAAAAAGAGAGAGACCACATTTTGTTCACACTTTATCCTGTGTCTTGCACATACTAGGAACTCAAACATTTAACAATCAAATTACCCCCAAGCTATGTGACTGAAGGAAAGACAGGAGAGCCAACCCCCAAAAAGAGTAGCAAATTTTCCCAATGATGTCTCAGAGCTGAGAACCCAGTTATTTCCTTTCTTGGCTTCAAAAACATTCTGTTGCACACTTAAGTATATCCTCATGATGGGTTTCACTGTGAAACCCATCTGACTCACTCACTTCCTATAAAAGGCTTTCATAGAACCGGAACAGCTGGACTAGCCAAGCTTTAGTTTCAGCAAGTCGGTCTCCAGTTATGTGTCTGCTTATTTATAGGGGTGTTGGTTTTAAGAAAGCCCAGCAGTGATCCTCTGGCATGTGGGGGCGGGATCCCCTAACTAGAGACAATCAGAGTCATGAGACGCAGCCAGGTCAGCAGCAGCCTGGAACTGCACATTCAAGCACCCTTCCTGCTGCCTACACTGTTCCTTTGCTCTGCAGCTCGTGTTGGATGCCCTTCAGGAATGTGCCACAGTGCAGTAGAAAGAGGCAGTGCAGTAGAAAGCACATCAAGTCAGAGACCTGGGTTCTGGGGTTTTAGGTCTGCCACAGAAGCACTCTCTGAACTGGAAGATGCCTTTCACAAAGGCCATCCACTTAGGTGGTTCCCAGATGTAGCTGGAGTAATGACTATGCTAGAATCACCTGAGGAATTACCTGGGGAGGCTTTTCAAAACACAGACGCCTCTAGGATATGGTCCTGAAGTCTCTATTTGATAGGCTCCCAAGTGACTGAAAGGCACTCAGGTATGGGATCCAGTCCATCTGCCATCTGTCACCTGACTCCTTCTAATAGCCAAATGGCCATCTGGTCTCATGTTAAACACTTTCAGGGATAGGCAGCTCAGTATCTACTAAGAGAACCCATTCCTTTTCTGGACTATATATACTTTCGTATTTACATAGATTTTCCCTACATTCTCTATAATGAAACAAAAGTAGTTTCCCTCTGGCTTCTGCCAAGTCATCTGAATCCACCTTGCATGAGTCAGAAGTCTAACTTTTTTCCAGTTCAAGGTCCTTCAGATATCTTAAGGCAACTATCTCAGCTACTTCTGCACCTTGTTTTGCACCACCTTTTCCCCTCCCCAGGTCCCGTTTCTTCATTACATTTAACTAACTGCTCCTCATGTAACATCTGTTTTGCTCCTCTGAATATGTTCTGGTTTGTCTAATTGGAGAAATGACCAAGCAATGACCTTTTCTTACATATTCTCAGCACAATTTCACAGAATTAGTTTTCCTTATCTATTGAATGAGAATAGAAATAGAAGGTAATAAGGATCTTAGCACCAATAAGCCAATGAGATACAGTTTAAGTGCTGTTCGACTGAAAGCCTATGACAAGCCTAAAGGAGAACACAGCATTGGGAACACTGCTTCCTTCCTGAAGCAGGCAGCCTAATGTAGTAGAGGGAGGATCTGAAGCTAAGATTATTCTTTATATGGAGCTGCTACGGTGCAGTGTAAAGAACACTGAACTTTGTCTAAGTTCCTTAACCTTTCTGATTCTGCTTTCTACAAGTTCAAAACAACCATACATGTTAGTATGGTAACATAAAAACCATTGATGATAAAAGCAAAATGAGATATATGGGACATGCCTAACAGAGAAATGGCGCAGTACAGTTATGTCACTGTTATAATTCCAACTGGTTCTTTCATAAATGATCTATTTGCTTACCTGCTGTATTTTCCCTTGCCACTGGAAAGAATGCCACCACTCAGTGTGCCCCCTGAGAGGGCTGCAAAGCTGGCTGTTTCACTGTATGGCCCCTGCATGACACTGAGTCCATCTGTAGGGCTCCCACTGGTGCTCAATACACTAGTCAGGCCTTCAATGCTGCTTTCCCCAATGCTGGGATTTTTGAGGGCTCGCCAAGCATCTGCCACTGGGGATGGAACCAAACATCTTGATTCAAGATTGCATAGGATCAAAATGGAATCTGGTATCTTCCTTGATGACTCTTCAGAGTAGAGAATATTCATGTAGAAAAATACTCATGTACTCACTTAATGAACAGCTACTACATGCAGCCACTACACATCTGGTGTTTAAACATATGTTCATATTTAATCTTCCCAATAACTAAGCACTAATAGCCCCAATTTTAGATGAGGAAATGAAAGCTTAGAACATAATTACTTGTCCAAGTCAAGGCTAGTCTCTCAAAACTATTAATTCTGATTCCAAGTCCACTATTCCTTCCATTATACCATAGATGTAATGAATCACAAAGATTTTTAAATGTTTAAGTCATATGCTGATTCTAGCACGAAGCTTGAAAAGCCTTTGGGGACCTGTGTCTCAGGTTAGTTAG